TGTATAAATATCTGAGTTAAAATACTTGTTAATATGAATTATGCTTGATGACTGTGGAAGAGATGCACAAAAGTCTTTTGTAACCAACTGATACACTTTCTACAGTATGTAAAAAAAAGGAAGATGTTATGTGTTGTGTTTGTTTTGAAAATTAAAAATAAAAAAACCTTAAAAAAAGAAATGTCAACTTTTTTGCATCTTCAAGTTAATGGAGTCTATAAGGCACATTTCAAGTTGTATGACAGTTTTCCTGAGGATAATACAGTAATGTTTACAGTAGTTTATAGCACAAGGACCAAAGGTCAAAATGGGGGTGGCAAAAATCCTTACTATTTTTTGTTCCTACTGTTGTTTTTAAATGTCATTATGCAAAACGTAACTGCAATTGAAAACTTTTCAAACCAAAAATTGATATTCAGCACTCTCCAATATGTCTTAGAGGATCTCTGTGTCCCTTAAGATATACAGTATGATAAGTTTCCTTCTGCCTGTTCTCAGCATAAGTCTATATATTAACTAGCACAATCTGCTCCCCAAATTTATCCCCTAGATCAGTGATAGCTAACCTTTTTGTATTTGTGTGCTGAAAGCTCATGCATGCATGCCAGCACACACATGCACATCACCCATAATGCAATGCTCATGCACCCCTCATTCCCCACCCTCCCGCACATGCACAGCAGAGACCTGAAGACCAGCTGGCCAGCGGGAGGCGTGCACACATGTGCAGTGGAGCTGGACTGGGGCGATGGCTGGTGTGCCTGCAGAAAGGGCTTTGAGTGCCACCTGTGGCAACATGCCATAGGTTCGCCATCATGACCTTAGATTAAAAGTGCTCAGGACAGCTAACCATTAGTCATTCTGGATTAGCACAGCAGCATAGCACATATCTTAGTTTCAACCGTGAAGGAACATCCTTCCCAACACTTGTTCAATAATGTGAGAGGATCCTATTGCATTCATGTTCCACTGATGACCTCTACAGATATATTTGGATGGCTATTGTGGGAAAGAAAAGCTGGACAAGATGGTTTTTTAAACCTGATTCTTACATTCCTAACATAAACACTGTAGTGGGTGTCACTGGGTGACTTAGAGTGACCTAGATTTGAACTGACAATGCAGCATAACTCAAAATATATCTTGGTAGATTCAAAATAATTTTTAAAATGTGCTGAAGTCATTCACTCTTTCTACAATTCTTAACATCTTTCTCCTCCTATAATTCCCAAGATTTCTTAATCCTAAATCAGTTTAAGCTGCTAATAAAAAAATATGTCAGTGAAAGGCAGATGTATTCTTCTGACATCAATAAAGGTAGTATGTATGCCACTATAAATGGCCAATCTCTCATTTTACAAATTATACATTTATTTAGATTCCCATACACTCCTTTTCCACAAGCCAGGCCTTTAAACTGGAACATCAAACCTAGAATCCATGCATGGTCTGAAGTTCCAGAACAAGCCTACCCTTAAAATCTTCATACAGAGAAGACTATAAATAATAGCTAATTGCAGAGGTTGGTCAAAATATGTGGAACTGTAAATAAAAGAAATTACAATGTAAAACAGCTGCCTTGAATTAGACCAAAGATCTGCCTTGTCCCTCAGTATAGAAACATCTTAGTATTGGAAGAACATATAGAACAACTTGGACCCCAACACCCATCAGTGTTGACCAATGAGGTTGATAGTAGATATAATCAGTATGTCTGGAAGTCACCAAGATGAGGAAGGCTGGTATCTAGGAAGTTGCCTTACTCAAGGCAGATTATTATCCATCTAGCCAAATACTATGTATTATAACATCTTTCCAGTCTAAAACAGAGAAAATGCTTCTAGCCTAATATCTTTACTTTATTTTATTGTCATTGTACATATATACACAGTTTACACATACAACGAAATTCACATAACACCCAGAGACCAGGATCTGATGTTTACACTGAACATGTTCCACTTGGGATTATTTACTTACAAAAGAAATGTTTTGTCCCACTCTCTTTTTCATATTTGAAGTCATTATATTAAGGTCTTAAATCAAAGGCCTTTATAAAATCAGTCCTATTATATTGAGGAAATGGACTGATCATCTAATATAAATATAATATTTTACCAGGTATAAATATCTCAGCAATCCAAATACTCACCCCCTTTTTTTTTGGAGACTTGGCATGATTAATCTTTTTATTCAAAAACAAATCAAACCACATATTGTGCAGCACACGTGAAATAAATCAATATTCTAGATTTTAGGTTCTAGGGTTTTTTTTTCTTCCCACTTTAGTAGGTATTTGGCTGCTTTTGTTTTGTTTTAATAGCTTTGGAAGGCATCATATTAACATATGGTTCTGTTTAGCCAGGGAAATACTGGATCCTGTCTAATCAGTTTCATTCGTTGCACAAAATGTTAAATAATAGCTTTTCTTTTTTAACTAGATGGCTTCGAAATAAATTGGCTTTAGTATACTATATCTCTTTCTAGATTATAATTGCCAAGAATAAACATCTTGCCCTTTATCCCCTAAGAAAGTGGAACTTGTTAGGACACCAACATTCTTGTGGTCTTCTCTAAAAAAGAGAGTAGCAATAACTGCAAGCTAAAGATAGCTCTGTGAAACTTAAGGAATTATAACAGCAGAGAAATGCCCTGCATGAGATTTATGTTTTTTAGTTTTACTATGTTGCAATCATCATTTATTTTTCTCTCCGTGGCTTTGTTTTCAGAATGACACCACTGGAGCCATAAGCCTCCCCTAACCTCACCATCCAAACTTTCAAACTGAGAGTACCAAAACCAGCCTTCCCCATCCTAGTATCCTCCAGATGCTTGGATTAACTCTCTTAATCCTAAAACAATATGGGATTTAAAGACTAGTATCTCTGATGGGCTTTGGGTTTGGAAAGCAGATTTTATATAATTTTCATTTGGGAAGCGAGATAGGTCTCGTAATTTATTCTCATTTGCATATATAAAAAGATGCAAGGAGATCTGTGTGACCATATCATATATGCTGCCATATGAATAAAACCAATTTATTGGTATCTGCATTGCTTGGGTAATATTTCAACACAATTCCTGAGTGTCTTTCCTCAAACTTACACACCTCAGAAGTGCTAGGACTGCCATTCCCAAGGGAGCCAATTGCAGAAGGCTATTAAGGGTGTTATGCAAAAATGGGAACAAAACTGTGATACAAGTATGAACTCTGTTTTCTCTCCTTTTTTAATTACCCAGGCAATTATAATCATCAATTGTGTATGATCCAAACCATTGATATAACTACAAGCTGCTGCTGCTGCTGCTGCTGCTGTTTAATTCTTGATCAAGGCAAGAAATTCCTCCCTTGCTTTTGAATCTTCCCGGAAGATGCCGAGCATAGTGCTAGTGATTGTTGTGCTGTTCATTTTCTGAACCCCCCTCATGATCATGCACATGTGTCTGTCAAAAAACATTAAAAGAAGCATTTTTGGAACATTAGCAAACATTGTAAATAGCATTCAAGCCTCAAACCCTTGATACAAGTCTGATTTTAAAACAATAATAAAACCAATAGCAAAATTAAATATAAATTACAGGACTACATTATCCCAGAATGTAAAAGCATGCATTTATTTTAATTATCTTCCTAATATAAAACACTTTTTTAAAAAAAAAGTAAAGGAAAATATTTGTAGCTCAGGGTAGACATGAAGGGACCTTGATGCTCTCTGAGCTTGCTTGTTTTCTTGCAGACATTTCATTACTCAAACTAGCACTGACTAACACTGATGATGTTACTTAGTTTTGGTAATGAAACATCTGCAGGAAAACAAGCAAGCTCAGAGCGCATCAATGATCCCTCATTTTAAAAAATCCATGTATCCTAGGAAATCTACAGTATCTTGGTGACACAATGCGCTCTACATGGGGCAGCCCTTGAAGAGTTTTCAGAGACT